AACATTTTTGCCTCGACAACTCACCACTCTTTTTACCAACTAGGTGATGAAGGAACTCACCTTCGTATCACCAACCAGGTGGTGAAAGATACAACTAGTACTTTAATAAACATTTTTGCCTTGGCAACTCACCACTCTTCTTACCAACTAGGTGATGAAGGAACTCACCTTCGTATCACCAACCAGGTGGTGGAAGATATAACTAGTACTTTAATAAACATTTTTGCCTCAGTAACTCACCACTCTTCTCACCAAACGGATGACGAAAGAACTTACCTTCTTTTCACCAACTAAGGAAGAACAGTGCATCCTGCACCGGTGGATTCTTAGAATTCATAAGCAGGCGAAAATTTTCAAGTCAAAAATTTTCAAGCCTTACAACTCGAAAAAGGCATAAACTCAACAATGCCTTCCATACTTTTGCTCAAGAGTGTGGAAACAAAATCATATTATATGGTTTAACAAACCTCTAACAACTACAACATGTAGAATGCCTTCCACACTCTTGCTTAAGAGTGGGGAAGCAAAATCTATTTATATGGTTCCTCTGAACTTTCAACTACTACAACACGTAGATTGCCTTCCACACTCTTACTCAAGAGTGTGGAAGCAAAATCTATATATGTGGTCTCTCCCACACTTTCTTGTCCCTAGTTCACAAAAAAAAAAAAAAAATATGCCAAAAAAAATCCGACTTTAATTAATTAATAATTATTTCGATAATTATTATCTAAGTAATTAATTAATTATTAATTCTAACATGTGGAGAATGCCAACAAAACTTCAACACATAAGAGATAACTACAATATGTAGATTGCCTTCCACACTCTTGCTCAAGAGTGTGGAAGCAAAATCAAGTTATGAGGTCCTATAAAGAGCTTCCCACACCCTTGAAGGGAGAGAGCTTCCCACACCCAAGGGAGATAGCTTCTCATACCCTTGAAGGGAGAGAGCTTCCCTTACCTAAGGGAGAGAGCTTCCCACACCCTTGAAAGGAAAAAGCCTTCACACACTTTGAGGGAGGAAACCACCCACACCTTGAAAGGGGGAAACTTCATACTTTGCCTAACTACAAATAATTTCAAAAAGCCTTCCACACTCTTGCTCAAGAGTGGAAGCAAAATCTATTTATGTGGTTCATAAAAGCTGCAACCAAAACCTTCAAAAAAAAATTTCAAAAAGACTTCCACACTCTTGCTCAAGAATGTGGAAGCAAAATCTATTATGTGGTTCAAAAAAGCGTCAACCGAAAGCTTCAACAAAAAATTCAAAAAGCCTTCCACACTCTTTCTCAAGACTGTGGAAGCAAAATCTATTTATGTGGTTCAAAAAAGCTTCAACCAAAAGCTTCAATAAAACAATTCAAAAAGCCTTCCACACTCTTGCTCAAGAGTGTCGAAGCCAAATCTATTTATGTTGTTCAAAAAAGCTTCAACCAAAAAGGCTTCACCTATAAAGCTTCAACCAAGACGTTTCACCTACAAACATTCAACCAAAAAGCTTCACCTACAAAGTTTCAACAAAAAAGCTTCACCAACAAAGCTTCAACCAAAAAGTCTCACCTACAAAGCTTCAACCAAAAAGCCTCACCTACAAAGCTTCAACTACAAAGTTCAACAAAAAAGCTTCACCTACAAAGCTTTAACCACTCAAGCTATGTGTCCAAAGGAAAAAGCTTCACCTACAAAGTTTCAACCAAAAAGTTTCATCTACAAACTATGTGACCAAAGGAAAAAGTTTCAACCATTCAAGGTATGTACACGAAGGAAAAGGTTTCAACCACATTTTATTTTCTCACCCAAAAGAAAGAAGGAATTGGGCTTAAGAAAAAATATATATACTTGGACTACATTCCAAAAAATAAATAAAAATAAAGGGAGGAGAGAATTTTTGAAGTCTTTTTTCTAATGACTCAAGAATATCAAGCCACCTCCTTCGGCTATCCTCTTCGCTTGGAAACTTGGGGGACTCCCACTATGTGCTACTACACTTCGGTACTTAGAAGTTTCGTGATTACTCAGTGACTTGGATTTTTCAAGTACCCAACCAAGCAACCGAGAAGCTTTCCTCATGCAAGAACTTAGGGGAGCACTGTTTGTACCATACTTGATCAATCCCAAAACTACCAAGCACCGGTCAACTTCATACCTTCAAGGATCCATTAAGGGTTCATGCTGAGGCATCTCTGTTGAAGCACAAGAGTTTCCCTCCAACAAGGAGGCCAATCACAATACGACACATGTCAATGTCAGAATAAAGTTCACATAGTCCCACATCAACCGCGGACAAAAGCTGGAGACTCTCCTTAACTATAAAAGAAGATCATTCTCTTACAATGAATCCTTAATGTTATTATTGTACTTAAACTAGTCATCCAAACCTACTAATGATGATTATGCTTATACTTGTGTATTTGTGTAAACCATTCACTATTAATAAGAACTCTCTTACTCTGTGGATGTAGCCAGACTTAGGGTGAACCACATACATCTTGTGTTTGTTTCCTTATCTTTATCTCTTTGTACATTATCATCACTAGGTGACTGAAGCAATGGAGCTAAGGTCACAAACTTGACACTTTACGTTATTCCAAAGTCTTCACTGATTTTTTGCATCAACAGAATCAAACTAGCATAGTTCAAAATGTATTTGTTGGGATTTGATGCCTTGTGCAGTTTAGGCTCTTACAAGCGAGGACTTTGAGTCACTTAGAGCTAGACATGGCTTCATGCCATTTGAGACTTGTTACGGCTTTATGCCATTTGAGACTTGACGCGGCTTCATGGCATTTGAGACTTGACGGGGCTTTGTACCATTTGAAATTTCATGGGGCTTTAAGCCATTTGAAATTTGATACAACATTGTGCCATTAAATTGACTTTGTGCCATTTATAGTGGCTTTGTGCCATTTGAGCGTCAAGTAAAATTAGGTGTGTTTTGGGATGAACCCATTAACATTTTGGCATTTTGACTTTTGATTGGTGCCATGTCTTTTGTCTCCGCATTTCAGGCTTCATGAATAATTTCAACTTGATCGAGGCCATATTCATAAAGCACAAGAGTGTGGCATGGAGGTTCATCCATCCTTCTTTTGTGGGGTCAAGTTTAAATAGTCTTTTTATAGGATTGGAACCTTATGTGAACATCATTTTAAACATAGGAAATATATTCTCTCCGGATCTCTTCCACCAAGTCCACCAAGGCCACAAATCCGAGCCTTTGAAATTTGATCCAATGGCTAAAGTTATTATAACTTTTAAAATAGGCTCCTGTTTGTAGCCGTTAGATTAAATTTCAAAAGCCTGGATTTGTGACCTTTGTGGAAGGGATCCAGAGAGGATCCCTTTCCTTAAATATGCTTTTGCAGGGACCTTCTTAATTGTAGGAAGACATCATTTCCTTTTTTGATTTCACCACTGAAGCTTCCTGCAATACCCACATATTTTTTATTGTGACTGGAACACGAATGGTATACCACGTGTTTTTATATAAGTGGTGAAAATTTTTATTTTTTAAGTTATTAACTTTTTAACACACATATCGCACTATTTGTATAGTGACATATGGTGTACACCGTGCTTCCGTCACACTAAAAAATCTCTCCATGTAATGAACATGATGTTTTCTTTCTTCTTTTCACTCTCTATTTTTCATTTTCTATTGTAGCATTCTTTGTTCTTTTGTTATCCCATATTTAATGGGATCTTTACAAAAGACATACAACAACCCAGCAGCTATGGTCCTTGAAATCACAGTGGAGAGTGCTTTGTTCATCTTTATCACTTTTTCACTTCTAATATTTTTACGAGAAGAAATAAATGAACGACGGTGAGTAGAGGTCGCTCTCCTATCATTTGCTATAGCCATCAGAGTTAGTGGTTTCTTTCCCCAGGTGTATACTCAAAACAGAAAGGGTAGGATGACTTTCTTTTCTGCTATTTGTAAAGAACTCACTAGTTGTTGGCAGGGCTTTCTCCAAGACTTGTCACCAAGGAAGGAGCATAACGTTCTTCGCTGCAACAGTAGAGGAATGTTGTCGTCATCGCTGTTTGGTAGCTGCATTGTCACTCTGCACGAGACTGTTGCATCTCCGTTGCTTTTTTGCTTTCTTGAAACTCATGTTATTCGTAGGAGTTCGATTGTTGTGAAGACAAAGGATTGCACGCATCTTCTTCCTCGGTACAGAGCATTGACGATGGAGTGCATCGACCACTCCCTAGAAATTTATGGAGCTGACAACGATGATATGGAACGGAGAGCATCTGGCTATGGAGCTTTGTATCAAGCTTCAATAAGTGGTCTAGACCACTTAGAAATTCATGGCAGCAACGGCTCTACAGGGAGCGGCAAGGACTGCTCATTTTTCTTCGCAGCTTGGACAAACTTGTTGGGCAGAAAGGTCACAGCATGGCTATTGTTGGTGGAGAGTCCAAATCATCTTTTTCATGGTTTTCTTTTAAGTGTTTCCAGTCTTCAAAACCTTCGTGGTGTAGAGATATCAACTTTAAATTCCTAACATAGTAAATTTTGACCGTCCTCCTAAAGATCACCTTCCGACACCTCCGTGTCTACATAGAGACATGCTATACTGCGAAAATGCTTGATGAGTAGGTCCTAGGATTTGTTGATGCATCTTTCTTTGTCTTCTAACTCATAAATTGCTGCTAGGATTTCTTGACCATCTTTCTATGCCAATTGGTTGCATTTCTCCGAAAAAGGTAAATTGTTGCAGGATTTGGAGATGAATCCTGAGGCCTTAAAGAGTTCCATGGGTTTTGGCCGTGAGTTTTGGTGGAGAATCCCCAAACAGGAAGAGAGACAATGTGTTGCAGCTTTGTATTGGTTTGGTACTAAGGTGTCTTTTTGTGTTGAGTAAACATTCAACTTCAGTTTATTTTTACAGTTTTGATGAAAAAAAAATAAAAAGCTAAAAGTTCAAAACAGCAAAAGCTAGCTTTGAAAAACCAGCTTTTTTTTTCTTCCACAACTTCTGCGTAAACTTAATTTGCAAGAGGCGTTGAGCCCTTTAATGAAACTTTCAAACACCCAAAATGACCTTAAACAATTAAATAATTACACATAATACTAACTGGAAAACGTCGCCGACTTCAATTAGGAGGTCATCTTCATCTATCTCACCACAACGTCGTTCACTTCCAGCTTCAGCAATCACCGTTATTGACCTTGAATTTCATACCCTAGGACGTTGTTTCTGCCTATCCTTCCTCCCATCTCTTGCCCGTCCTATCTCATTCCCATGTCGACAAAATCACGCTAAGAAATACCACCATTTTTTCCAGCGAGGACCATATTCGGTTTTGACATCGTAGATTTGCCTAGATTTCCCAGATTGCACCGCTTACAGGTGAATGATCTTCGTATTTCTGCAAATTAGGAGAGCCCAGATTGCCCAGACATACACCAAAACTCAGTTATTCCAAATACCCAAAATTAAATACAGGAAACTACTTTGTGTAATCAAATTCACACTATACAGTTTCAAAAAGAAAAAATGATTAGTCCCGAAAGAAGAAAGAAACCAGCATCCTGAAGCGTTGGCCTTACCCGATGTATATAATGAACTCCTCGAGCAGCTAGACCATGTGTGTACTGCAAATCAGATGATAGGTGACAGAGATTAAGGAATGGAGCATAAAATGAAAAAGAAGAAGACGGAGCAAAAAAAATAAAAACTGAGAAAATTGGGGTTGTGGGGGAGACTTCTAGAGAGATGTTTTTTGTTTTTGGAAAGTCTGGTTCAATAGTATTATACCATTTTTGGTCATTTCACACAGTCACGGCTGTTTTGCATAAAAGTTTACCAAACATTATAATACTACTTTTTTTTTTTTCCATAAACACTTTTACAAAACAGTTTACCAAACACTCTGCTGCTTTATTTCACAGCTACTTATTCTTATAGCACATCAAAAGCAGTTTTTTTTTCAAAGCACAACAATACCAAACCAGCCCTTAATTCGAGATTGTTTGAGAGAAAGTAGGATTTGATGGGTGCTATGTTCTCCTGCAAGAAAGGAGCAACATAGAAAACCAAAAGGGTTAATTGGCATTGTTAATTTACCTTACGAAATTCGTTGCTTTCTCTTCGAAGCTGTTGGAATGACAGCAACCTCATTCCTTTCTACCTCTTCGCCTTGTATATCTTGCCCTCTGCTTGCTTTTGTATTTTGTTTCTCCTCCGTGTGCCTCTAAAGTTTTCTGCCGTCCCCCCTCCTCCCCACCCCCCACCCCCCACCCCCCCCCCCCCCCCCTCCTCTTTTGGATCACAACCTTTTATAGAGAGAAGACATGGAGCAATTGCTTGCCATTTTCACGAAGTGGAACGGTTTGGAAGAGCCACTACGTTGCTCTAGTTGAAGACGATAGGATTGTTCTGGAAGCAAACCACTTCTTCAAGTTTCAGAACGTGATTTTATCCCACCGTCTTTTATTCTCATTTATTTAATTGATTGCAAACAAGTATAGACCTTTAAAGGAGCCAGCCCAATTTACATTTCAGAATGAACTTGGGCTGTTTTCCTTTTGTTTTTATTTTGGCCCTCTTTAAAGCTCTTTACTTTTTCTTTTTTTTCTTCCAAGCGCTGTTATTTATTTTCTTGTGAAAATACATGGTTCAACACATGGAATTTTCAGGAAGAAAACTGATCACAAAATTTCAGCCAGATGAACACATGTTGCAAAAAAAATAAAAAATAAAGGTAAAGTATATATGAGCATGGATACTCAGTCAACAACTAAATCATGAGCAAACGAAAGGTCTACAATTAGGTACAAACAAACCTATTGCACCAAAAAAAAATACAAACCACAGTTTTTAAATTGGTAACAAAATCATAACATCAGAAACAACCGACCACGCATTCTTGAATATACTTTGTAAATGTGTTGTTCCTCTCAAATGAAACACCATTTTCAGCCACAGGCAAACTCGATGCATCAATGCCAGAGGAACAAAAGAACCTTGCAATCCTCTCCTGCGACTTTAGAGGCGATGGAATTCCATCAACCAAAAAGACCGGAAATGCCCCAGAATGCATAAACACTGAACAATATTCAGTTAGGATGTGCCCCCCCAGAAATAATTAAGCTCATTCTCAATTCAAAGCCTCGAGCTTTATGATCTAAGCTAAGCAACAATAACAAAAACTGGCATTGTAAAAAACGACAGAAGAATTACTGAGAATAACATAACTTATACCAATATCACCTTTCAATTTCAATTTTGAACCCCTCCACATTCCCCAAACCATTAAATTAAAACACAAAAAGCTCACCCCAAATCTTCCTTTTCTTTTTTTGCTTCCTTTCAACCAATCAAACATACGTTTTAATTTTTTTGCATAAAAATTATATAAACAAATTAAAACCCAATTCCAAACAAACCCAACTTTTGTTTTTGAATTTCTCATCTTTCTTCATAAAGCAATCTGAAAATGCAAGCGCACAAAACAAAATACTAAACCTTGGAGAAGAGATTAATGGTACGGAAGGAGGTGAGCCTGAGGAGGGGACTACGTGCGCGGTGCTTGAAGGCGGTTTCGTGCTGTACGATCCAAATGGAGAAGTCCACAGCAACCCGCTTGTTCCTCAAGAAATCAAAACCCTCGTTTCGGGCGTAGGGCTTTAGCAAGTCCCAGAATTTACCCCCGACTCCCATTGCTTTTGGAATTTGCTAATATGGGTCTGAGAGAAGTGGCTGCAGAGTTGGCTTACACATTCATCGTCCTACTTACTGAGTGAGAGTAAGACGAAAAAGATGAACGAATCAGAAGAAGAAGAATCTGTATTTGGTTTTGTACCGACGGTGGTAGGTCAGATTTTGAATTTAGCTAATCTAACAAAATTTATTGTTTAACATAAAAAAATAAAAGTAAAAATAAAAAAGAAGAATCCGTATCGTTTGGTTTTGTACCGTTGGTGTTGGGTCGGGTTTCAAGCCGGTTGGACGTAGGTTTTGGGTTTGGATTCAATTAAATCCGCTTTCTTCGGTTGTTTGGGCTTTGTCCCTAAACATACTTTGCAAATTTGAGTTCGGCTTGGGATGAATTTGGGTTCGGCTAAGGTTTTATGATTATTAATAGCGTATTTGCATATAGATAATGCTAAGCAAATCATATTTTATAAATCAAATAATGTGTTGGCTGATAGTAGGGTATCTTCTTATGATTTAAACAAGGAATTCAACCATAAGTTGCCATATCATATAATTTACAAAATATAATTCAAGATTTCAAATAGATGATCTCTCTAGCATCACTCAACCGACAATGTCCCCCATCCCTTTGATGTTTGTTGCCTTATATATGGCGTAGTCACACAAGACTCTCTTGTTTATTCTATGATTTTAGTTTTGATGAACATTAATAAAAAGTTAAGATAATAAATCACAAAAGAAAGATATGCTCTTATGGAATGTATAAAAAAAAAAAAAAAAATGCATGACGGCATGGAATTAAGAGGGTATACATTAAATAAAGTTTTTATCACAAACGGTTCTTAAAATTGATTCACTCCATCAAGATGATTCCTAAAAGTTGAAAATCAATCAATATAATTCCTGAAAATGAATGTCGCAAATCAATATCATCATTCCGTCATAATTCCGTCAAAAATTCTATTATGTGCTGACGTGATACATAAGTAGATTCCACAAATCTAATTAAATATTAACATGTGAAACTAAAAATATGTAAATAATTAAAAACTTAAAAAAATAAAAATGGAAAAACTCGGTTGAGTTGGGTCTGGGATTCGACTCGGCCACGGATCGAGTCCGGCGAGTTGGGATTGAGTCTGGGTGGGACAAACTTGGTTGAGGATGGTGTGTTGTCAGCGAGTTCCGATGAGGAAGAGAAGGCGATGGCTGTGGTGAAGGAATGGCAAAGGGCGACGCTGATGTTAACTGTTTTACCAACTAACCAAATTGGGGGTTGATCATGTGGTGGACTCTACCGGCGAAAATCTATCCAAAGTGTGAAGGATTTCTCAAATCCCGAAAGCTTTAAAAGTCAATGAAGGCTTTGAATTGGGGAAGGGAAGAATAGTTTTTTTTTTATATTTATATATTTTTAATTTCAAGTGATGATGTTTAATTATATTTGTGCAATGCAGTTATGTGCCACATCATCATATAACAAAATTTTTGACAGACTAGTGATGGAAGGATTATATTGATTTGCGACATCCATTTTCAGGGATTACATTGATTGATTTTCAATTTCAGGGACCATCTTGATGTAGTTGATTAATTTCAAGGACCATTTGTGATAAAAATCTTATTAAATATGGAAAGCAAAAGAGACATATAGGCAAAGTTCTAAAAGATGTTAAGCGCTAGTCGGACGGTGGATTAGGGCCTAGCGCCTAGGTAGTTAGGCGGGGTCTAGGCGGGCTCCTATGCGGATTTAAGTAAATCTATTATATTTCGTGTAAATAAGTGTTTGCTTATACTTAAAATATATATATATATATATATATAATTTCATCATAAACTATAAAATAGAATAATATATATATATATAAATGGGGTGGAACTACTGGTAGGAGGCAAAGCCTTCCATAGAATTCAGAGTGCAGAAGTAAAATACATATAAACATTGAAGTAATTCGAGATAATGAATGACAAAAAATTGAGGTTGATTGAAGCGGAATATCCATGTATGATCAATTATAACATGAATGCAAACAATTGAACTAAACATAGGTGTTATATTCATATTGAAAATGTATTAAAATTAATGATGCAGATAGATTTTGAAAATAAGTTTATTAAACTTACTGCAATGCAGATTACAAACTGATTTTTTGCCTAATGGCAGATAATGAACAACAAAAGACTGGAGCTCGCAGGCATCCTGGATAATATATATGTATTACAAGTGTTTAAAATCTCTGTCCTTTGTGGATGAGCAGAGATATATATTGTTGAACTGAATTCTTGTGTTTTAAAAAACTCTGCGTCTTCTGAAGATGAAAACCTCTTTTATAGAGCGAGGAGAATGAATGATGCTTGCAATATAGATCCGGGAATCCCGCTTCCATCTGAAGAAAGCTGGTAAAAAGATGAAAGGTGACTGTGTAATCACGTTGCTTCTTTCACAAAAGTTGGATGAATAGTGACTTTTCTTGTCTTTCACTATTGATGAACAGTGACTTCTTGTCTTTCACTGTTGATGAATAGTGATTTTTTCTGAGAAGGAAATGATGGCAGCTACTGCTGAAGATGTTGTTGGCTGGTACAATCACATGGGCAAATAATGTAGGTTAATAATCAAATGGGTCCTGGGCATCTTGAAGATCTGCTTGATCTGCTCATTTGGAGGGAAGTTGAGATGAGGCATCAGATGCGTCAGAGCTCGAATCTGAACCTTTTCTTTTTTGTAGCATCGCTGCTTCAGCCATGAGCTATTGAGCCAAGTCCAGAAGCTGGGAGGACTTATCAGATTTCTCCTTTTTCTTCGAGCTGGAGAACTTAGAAGGTCTTCCTTTGAGGGAAGATGACGGACCAATGTCTGATAAGGATTGAATTGGCTCTTGGGCTTTTAGCAGCTCAGGAAATTGCTGATGAATTGGCAAAGCTTGTGAGGACGAAGCTGAAACTTTGATTGGCAGTGCCTGAGAAGATGCTTGGGGAAATTCCACTTTTACAAGATCAATAATTTTTTGGTGGTTGAATTTATCCCACCATTTTACCCATCGGGTTCTGTAAATACCACCAGTGTCTACTTCAAAGTTCCATTTGAGAATCCATGGGATCTTATACTTGGCCATGAGCAGTGAAAAAATAGTAACTCTGTTGTCGATGCAGGAAACCGCAATCTGAAATTCTTATCAAAGGTTATGAACCATGAATGATTAAAATCTTCTGTCTGGTAGAGGAAAATATTGGTCCATACTTGGATATAATCATAGTAATTGTAATGGTTGTTTGGGATGAGAACATGCTGAGTATGAAGGGGTTTTGTGTGATAAAGGGGAATTCCCCATTCGAGTTCGGTAAGGAATTTTCCAATATGGAGTGAATGATACAATATTTTGTTTTGATGAGTAGTGCTGTAAATTGGCTTAATAGCAATGCTTTCTGTTTCTGAAAGGATGGCCTGGTAATATTTTAGGCTTTTATAGGATTCAGTTGGTAAGAAATGAAAATTTGGTGGAAGGAGTAATTTGGCAATGCGCTATGAGGGTTGGTTTTTGTCGATG